CGCAGCGCGCGTGGCTCTCCAGGTCGACATCGACGCGTCGAACTCGTCCTGGAACGGCCGCCTCTCCTGGTCCGTCAGCGCCTTGAACTTGGCCGAGGCGAGCTTTCCAATGTCCTGCGCGCCCGGCCCCTGCACCTCCCCCGCGTAGCCCTCGCTTAAGCGCCAGTGGGCGACGTGCACCTGGAAGGCCCCGCCCACCGGCTTCTTCGGCCCGGTGCGCGCCACATCGGCTGCGTCGCGGCAGGCTCTCCAGAACGACATGGCCGCGTTGTGCTCGTCCTGGAACGGCCGCCTCTCCTCGTTAGTCAGCGCCTTGAACTTACCCGAGGCGAGCTTTCCAATGTCAGGCGCGCTCAGCCCCTGCACCTCCCCCGCGTAGCCCTCGCTCCGGCGCCAGTGGGCGACGTGCATCTGGAAGGCCCCGCCCACCGGCTTCTTCGGCATGGCGAGCCGCGCCTCCTCGGCCTGCACGGGCGGGCGCCCCTCGGCGTGGATAGGCGGGCGCTCCTCGGCCTCCCCAGGCGGCGCCGCCTCGACCTCGTCGGCCTGCATGGGCGGGCGCTCTTCGGCCTCCACGTCCTCGGCCTGCACGGGCCCCGACGGTGGCCCGTCGCCGTCGGCGCGGGAATCCCCGCCGGGAAGCGCCCCCCACGGGGCGTTGCCAGAGGCGCCCCCTGGCCCATGGCGAACCCACCTCCTCAAGGAAAGCCTGACTCTCCTGAAAGCCCACTGAGCCCCGGAGAACGGGCAATGTCGCGAGAAGCTGGGGACGCCATGGGCCAGGGTTCCTCTTGCACCCCCCGCGCCTGACACCGCGGGCGTTTGGCCGGCGGCGCGGGCGGGCTCTCTTCAAGCGGCATGGGCTCCACCTCCAAGTCGGTGTGCTCATCCAGGGCAGCCCGCGCCTCCTCCCCCCTCTCTGCTGGCTCCGACGGCAGCCCGCGGTCGTCGGTGTCGAGCAACTTGGCGATAACCGAGATTTCCAGCTGGCTCGTGACGCACCCAGTGGCTGGGAGCAAGTCGTCGTAGATGAAGTTCGCCAGCACCGGCCCGCTCGCCAACACTCCTGCGCTGAGCCGCGCAACGACCATGCCAGAGTTGTCCAAACCTGGGTGAGGGTCCACCAGCCACGTGTCGGCGCCGCGGGAAACGATGAAGAATGTGTTCCCCGTGCGATCAACTGCGGCGGCGGCGTCGGCTTTCACCGCCGTCACGGCCACGCCGCAAGGAGGGCGGGCCACCGTCGCCAAGATTCTCTCGAACTCGGTCTTGTCGATCGCAACGAGGTTTTCCACCCTAACCGCTCCTTGGCCGAGCTCGGTCTCGAACTTCTCACGGGCCAAGAACGCGGTTGCCTGACCTTCGACGTCGCGAGGCTTCGCCAAGCAACGGGAGTCCCATGCGCTCACTGCTTCCACGACGATGGGTCGCCAGAACTCCTCGGACGGCCACTGCGCCGCGAACCGCTCCGAGAACCCATTCGTGTTCTTCAGGAAACTCTCGATGACGGTGATTGCCAAGCCAGCGCATGCCGAAGTCCCTCGGTCCCCGCGTGCAGGGTCGGCGTCGAACTGACTCCAAGCAAAATATCTGCGGTCGATGGTGGGCGCTCCGTTGTCGCGCGACGACATGGCGCAAATGCTCGGGCCAATGTGGCGGAACCGGAGCTGTCGGAACCAAGCGTTCCCGCGCAAGCTGGGGAAGTCAGGGAATGCGGCCAAATCTTCGGTTCGAACCATAACTGCCACATGGGGCACCCCAGGGGGCGAGCGACCGAGAGCAAGCCCAGGGGCCACGGGCGACTGAAACAACCGACGGAGAACCGAAACCAACCAAAACCAGACAAGGAAAAGGCACCCCCAAGGGCCGAGCGACCGAGAGCCAGCCCAGGGGCCAGGAGCGACCAGAACAACCGACAGACAACCGAAAACAACCAAAACCAGACAGGGAAGGGACACCCCAAGGGCCGAGCGACCGAGAGCCAGCCCAGGAGCCACGGGCGACCAGAACAACCGACAGACAACCGAAAACAACCAAAACCAGACAAGGAAGGCGCACCCCCAGGGGCCGAGCGACCGAGAACCAACCCAGGGGCCAGGAGCGACCGAAACAACTGACAGACAACCGAAAACAACCAAAACCAGAAAAGGAAACGATCAGAAAACAACCAAAACTACACCAGGAAAGGGCGCCACAGGGGCCGAGCGACCGAGAGCCAGCCCAGGAGCCAAGGACGACCAGAAGAACCGACAGACAACCGAAAACAACCAAAACCAGATAGGGAAGGGGCACCCCAGGGGCCGAGCGACCGAGAGCCAGCCCAGGGGCCACGGGCGACCGAAACAACCGACGTACAACCGAAGACAGCCAAAACCAAACAAGGAAGGGGCACCCCCAGGGGCCGAGCGACCGAGAGCGAACCCAGGGGCCAGGAGCGACCAGAACAACCGACGGACAACCGAAAAAAAAAAAGACAGGGAAGGGGCGCCCCAGGGGCCGAGCGACCGAGAGCCAGCCCAGGAGCCAGGGACGACCACAACAACCGACAGACAACCGAAAACAACCAAAACCAGACAAGGAAGGGGCACCATGGGCCGAGCGACCGAAAAAACCAGACAAGGAAGGGGCACCCCCAGGGGCCGAACGACCGAGAGCCAGCCCAGGGGCCAGCAGCGACCAGAACAACCGACGGAGAACCGAAAACAGCCAAAACCAAACAGGGGCGGGGCGCCCCAGGGGCCGAGCGACCGAGAGCCAGCCCAGGAGCCAGGGACGACCAGAACAACCGACGGCCAACCGAAAACAACAAAAACCAAACGCGGAAGAGACACCCCAAGGGCAGGGGCCAGGAGCGACCGCAACAACCGACAGACAACCGAAAACAACCAACACCAGACACGGAAGGGGCACCCCCAGGGGCCGAGCGGCCGAGAGCCAGCCCAGGGCTCAGGGACGACCAGAACAACCGACGGACAACCGAAAACAACCACAACCAAACAAGGAAGGGGCGCCCTCAGGGGCCGAGCGACCGAGAGCCAGCCCAGGGGCCAGGTACGACCAGAACAACCGACAGACAACCGAAAACAACCAAAACCAGACAGGGAAGGGGCACCCCAGGGGCCGAGCGACCGAGAGCCAGCCCAGGGCTCAGGGACGACCAGAACAACCGACGGACAACCGAAAACAACCAAAAACAGACAGGGAAGGGGCACCCCAGGGGCCGAGCGACCGGGAGCAAGCCCAGGGGCCAGGAGCGACCGAAACAACTGACAGACACCCGAAACACAACCAAAACCAGACAAGGAAGGGAAACCCCAAGGGGCCGAGCGACCGAGAGCCAGCCCAGGAGCCAGGAGCGACCAGAACAACCGACAGACAACCGAAAACAACCAAAACCAGGCCGAAGGGAAACACAAAAAACGAACAACAAACAACCAACAACACTCATTTTAACAACAACATAAACACCAACGAAAACCAACCAAAGACAATCAACAACAACAACGAACCACAACCAAAACAACCAAAGAAGTATATTAGATTTGCGACCGCCCCAAAGGCAACTAAAAAAAAACAATTCATAAAGTAGGAAGGCGCTTAAAGTAGATTGGGATCTGGGAATCCAAAAATACCTACTTTCAACGACCGACGGGTAGTAGTAGTAGTAGTAGTAGTAGTAGTAGTAGTAGTAGTAGTAGTAGTAGTAGTAGTAGTAGTAGTAGTAGTAGTAGTAGTAGTAGTAGTAGTAGTAGTAGTAGTAGTAGTAGTAGTAGTAGTAGTAGTAGTAGTAGTAGTAGTAGTAGTAGTAGTAGTAGTAGTAGTAGTAGTAGTAGTAGTAGTAGTAGTAGTAGTAGTAGTAGTAGTAGTAGTAGTAGTAGTAGTAGTAGTAGTAGTAGTAGAGTATTAGCAGTAGTAGTAGTAGTAGTAGTAGTAGTAGTAGTAGTAGTAGTAGTAGTAGTAGTAGTAGTAGTAGTAGTAGTAGTAGTAGCCGTCGTCGTCGTAGTCGTAGTGGTAGTAGTGGTAGTAGTAGTAGTAGTAGTAGTAGTAGTAGTAGTAGTAGTAGTAGTAGTAGTAGTAGTAGTAGGAGTAGGAGTAGAAGTAGTAGTAGTCGTGGAAGTCGTAGTAGTCGTAGAAGTCGTATTATTATTAGTAGTAGTAGTATGGCTCAAATAGTACGAATGGTGGTAGTAGCAGTAGTTGTAGTAGTAGTAGTAGTAGTAGTAGTCGTAGTAGTAGTTATTCGAAAAATTTTCCTCATGCTCCAACTCCTTCTCCTTCTCCCAGTCTCCATTTTCTCTTCCTGTTCCTCCTCCTCCTCCGCCTCCATCACTACCTGATCATCCCTCTAATCGTCATTATTACTACCAACATCGTCGAATTCGTTCTCGTCCTCCTCATCCAACTCATCTTTCTCTGCATGTTCATCATTTTCCTCCTCGTCCTCCTCGTCCCCCTCCTCATCCTCCTGCTCTTCCTCCTCATCCTCCTCCATCTCCTCCCCATCATCATCACCGTCACCATCACCATCATCATCATCATCATCATCATCATCATCATCATCAACAGCATCAGCGTCAGCGTCATCGTCGTCATCATCACCATCAGTATTGTCGTCGTCTTCGTCGTCATACTCATAATCGCAATCGTGATCACCCACCACTCTCTCCCGCATCCTCATCCTCCCCCTCCTCCTCCAGCGCCACCACCGCATCCCGTCCCACCACCTCATCCTCCTCATCCCTCTTTCCCCCCCCTCATCATCATCATGATCCTCCTGCTCCTCCTCGTCCTCCTCCTCCAGCTCCTCCTCCTCCTTCTCTCCCACCACCTCCTCCTCCGCCTTCATTTTCTCCTCGTCATCCTTCTCCTCCTCGTCCTCCTCCTCCTCGTCCTCCCCGTCATCATCGTCATCATAATCATCATCTTCCATTCCATTGACCTCATACAATAATCCCGGTCCTCGTCGTCTTTCATGACCTCCTCTCACTTCCCCTCCCCTCCTGGACCCACAAGAACAGCAGGTCGTCGAAGCGCCGGCGTAGTGAGGACCTCTACAAGACAAATGCATGAAACCCACCACTCATCCAAACTCGAAAGAGAAACACAAATCCCGCCAGCCCTTTAGGCGACAGGTGGTCTAAGGAGGGTCTCTTTTCTCTTTCACAACCCCTCTTCCCTTCGGGGAGGGAGCCCTCCCCCTCCCCTCCCTGAGGTTTTTTTGGAGGGATCGCGAGGTGTCGGAAGCTCCTTTTCCAGCCATTGTGAGGGCCATTGTTTACCACCCCTCACGAGGATCGTGGCCCCCAAGGGGGGGACCTAAATCGAGTACCCCCCTCTTTTGACCGACCGCCTCCAAGATGGCCCCAAGAGGCCCTCCAGGGCTCCCGAGAGGCCCCCAAGAGGGTTCCACTAGCGCCCCAAGAGGCCCCAAGAGGGCTCCAAGAGGCCCCCGAGAGGCCTCCAAGAGGCTCCCAAGCGGCCTCAGAGAGCCCAAGATGACCTCCAAGATGGCTCAAGGTAGTCCGAGCTGGCTCAAGATGGTCCCAAGATGCCCCAAGAGGCCCCAGACCGCTCCAAGAGTGCTCGAGATGGCCACGAAGCCTCTCCAGGATGCCGCCGAGATGCCCAAATCCTCCTTTTCCTCCTCCTTCGCCCCCCCCCACCACGCGGGCCCGGAGATGGCCCCAACACGCCGTCCAGGCCAGCCTCCCTCGCTGTTTGACTATGCGTGTCTCTTCCTCTCCCCCCGTCAGCTCTCATGGGCATCATTTCTGGATGGGCTGTTGGGGATTTTTTTGGTCAACAGGCTCGCGAGGCGTGTCGAAAGCCGTCCAAACACTAGTCGGGCGGCTGTTGGGGATACTCTTTGTCGCGGCCGCAGTCGAGCGCGCCAGCAGCGTCAGAGGTCGGGCTGTTGGGGATACGTTCTTTTTTCGCGGGCTGACGCGGTGACGCAGTCGCCGAAGGGGAGGTCCGGGGCACCGTCCTGCCTAATTAACTACGCGCGAGGCTGTTGGGGATACGCGAAGCGTCAAGAGTTGGACAGCATAGCCACGTTGATCACCATTTGGCGGGATGCAAATGGGGGGATCAGTCCAGATGGGGAGAGAGGCGCAACCGAGGTACAAATTGTACCTCCGCCCCACGGAGAAGGTACAATTTGTACCGACGCCACGCAGACAAGGTACAAGTTGTACTTTTGACAACGACCGCGACATGTGCGAGGATGTTAACGGGGGGGAGAAGGTACAAATTGTACTTGCAACCCGCAGAGAAGGTACAATTTGTACCCCAACAAAACGGTACCGGATACTCATCCCCCCATGTCCTGATCCCCCCATAGCCATCCGGCCGAACCATGGCTATTTGCTCTGGCCGCCCCCAAAAATGCCAGCACCAAGTCTGGCTGCTACGCCCAGGATAGTTTGATGCACTGGTCGACTTCCGAATTTCGGAACGGCCCAAACTGTCGCTGCGAAAAACGAGTGGGAGCCAAAAGTACAGAGCATGCGAAAGGCGACGCTGGCTGATTTGGGATGCAGGGCTCTTCGGAATGCCGTGAAGCATATGCCGGTCCTTGTAGAGCGGATGCCAGGATGACACAATTGGGCCGCCTGGGTGCCCAGACGCCCATCCGAACTCGAATCGAATCAATCATACACCCCTGCGGCAGGTGATGCCACTGAGGCAGTCTCCCTGCCCTCAGCACGTGACCAACGAAGAGGAGGGGCACAAGCGGGAACAAACCGACCGTACACGGTGGCTTGCGCAGGCCGCTGTTGTGGCACACCGCGTAGAGAAGGGGGCGCTGACGCGAGAGCGTACGCGGGCAGCTTACGCGAGTATGTGCGCGCAGTCGACCCCGTATGGTCGTCGTTGCCTGCGCGGGCAGAACTACCCGTATGTGTCTCTTAGGCGGAGCAGCACCCCTGGGCGGCTGCTCGCATCTATCGGCGCCGACGCTATTCAACCCTCGCCACGAGCTCTCTGCACGTTGCAGCCGTGCACCTCGGCGCTTGCGACGATGAGCTGTGCGCGAGTGCCCTGTTTGTCGATTGCTTCATCGAACCACTTGGTCACAGCCTTGCCCATCGACGCAGGGCAAGATTACATCATGCCCTGGTGGCGTTCACGACACCGAATTCGATGGTGCTGATACGCATGCCTCTCAACTCTTTCTCCCCAGCGACAGGCGTACCGTGATGGTTCCGCTCTCTTCGCAGCTCACTCCATGAACTCGTGATAAGATCGGAACCTCTTCTCACTCTCGTGCAGGTGGTTCGCGGCGTGCTGGGTTCATATGGCGTGACCAGCCTGGGCGAGAGCTGGATGCACACATGGCAAGATGTGTTTCCAGCGTTTGGCATTTCTATGGCCAAGCACGGTGATCCTCCACATGTGCAAGTTGCCCCCGCATGTTCCGCATGTGAGTCCGGCCATGTGTGTGTGCGTATGCAAGCTTAGAGGTTGTATCTCATCGTGCCCGTATCACTTGCTTCTGCTTTCTGAGGCCCTGGGGTGCCAGGTATATATATATATATATATATATATATCGAAATAGTGATCGGGCCCACTGATCGCACCCTGGCCATACAATCTGGCCCAACTTGGTCACCTGACCCGATCTCGTCGGGCACTCTTCGCCGATCTCTTGCACCCATGCTGCACCTGCTTCACTTCACGCCTCTCTCCGTCTCGGCACTGGGGCGCGTACCTGCTCCAAGCAAGCACTCATCCGAGGACCTCCTGGGCGCTGTGCTCGCCGTCTCCGTGTTGCGCAGGAGGCGGAGACGGGGACGCAGGCGGCGAGGCGGCGAGGTGGGGATAAGCGGTTCAAACATTGGTCCCCGAGGGATGGGGCCCGATGGACGAAGAGCCTCAAACAGTGAAGGTTCAACCTCTGAGCCACTCCCAGGCATGGCGAGGTCTCGCTCAGATCTGCGCGGCGTCACACTCCGCAGGACCCACCAGCAGCCCTCGAAAGTGGCCACAGTTTCGCAGATCGCAGCCCCCCAGGGACGGCGAGGTCCCGCTCAGGTCCGCGCGGTGCCTCACTCCGCAGGACCCACCAGCAGCCCTCGAAAGTGGCGCCAGTTTCGCAGATCGCAGCCCCCCAGGGACGGGGAGGTCTCGCTCAGATCCGCGCGGTGCCTCACTCCGCAGAACCCACCAGCAGCCCTCGAAAGTGGCGACAGTTTCGCTGATCGCAGCCCTCCAGGGACGGCGAGGTCTCGCTCAGATCTGCGCGGTGCCTCACTCCGCAGGACCCACCAGCAGCCCTCAAAAATGGCGACAGGTTCGCAGACTCGAAAGTGCTCAGATCTGCGCGGTGCCTCACTCCGCAGGACCCACCAGCAGCCCTCGAAAGTGGCGACAGTTTCGCTGATCGCAGCCCCCAGGGACGGCGAGGTCTCGCTCAGATCTGCGCGGTGCCTCACTCCGCAGGACCCACCAGCAGCCCTCAAAAATGGCGACGGTTTCGTAGACCGCAGCCCCACAGGGACGGCGAGGTCTCGCTCAGATCTGCGCGGTGCCTCACTCACTCCGCAGGACCCACCAGCAGCCCTCGAAAGTGGCGACAGTTTCGCTGATCGCAGCCCCCCAGGGACGGCGAGGTCTCGCTCAGATCAGCGCGGTGCCTCACTCTGCAGGACCCACCAGCAGCCCTCAAAAATGGCGACAGTTTCGCAGACCGCAGCCCCCCAGGGACGGGGAGGTCTCGCTCAGATCCGCGTGGTGCCTCACCCCGCAGGACCCACCAGCAGCCCTCGAAAGTGGCGACAGTTTTGCAGATCGCAGCCCCCCAGGGACGGCGAGGTCTCGCTCAGATCCGCGCGGTGCCTCACCCGCAGGACCCACAGCAGCCCTCAAAAATGGCGACGGTTTCGTAGACCGCAGCCCCCCAGGGACGGCGAGGTCTCGCTCAGATCTGCGCGGTGCCTCACTCACTCCGCAGGACCCACCAGCAGCCCTCGAAAGTGGCGACAGTTTCGCTGATCGCAGCACCCAGGGACGGCGAGGTCTCGCTCAGATCAGCGCGGTGCCTCACTCTGCAGGACCCACCAGCAGCCCTCAAAAATGGCGACAGTTTCGCAGACCGCAGCCCCCCAGGGACGGCGAGGTCTCGCTCAGATCCGCGGGTGCCTCACTCCGCAGGACCCACCAGCAGCCCTCGAAAGTGGCGACAGTTTTGCAGATCGCAGCCCCCCAGGGACGGCGAGGTCTCGCTCAGATCAGCGCGGTGCCTCACTCCGCAGGACCCGCCAGCAGACCTCGAAAGTGGCGACAGTTTCGCAGATCGCAGCCCCCTAGGGACGGCGAGGCCTCGCTCAGATCCGCGCGGTGTCTCACTCCGCAGGACTCACCAGCAGCCCTCGAAAGTGGCGACAGTTTCGCTGATCACAGCCCCCCAGGGACGGCGAGGTCTCGCTCAGATCCGCGCGGTGCCTCACCCCGCAGGACCCACCAGCAGCCCTCGAAAGTGGCGACAATTTCACAGATCGCAGCCCCCAGGGATGGCGAGGTCTCGCTCAGATCCGCGCGGTGCCTCACTCCGCAGGACCCACCAGCAGCCCTCGAAAGTGGCGACAGTTTCGCAGACCGCAGCCCCCCAGGGACGGCGAGGTCTCGCTCAGATCTGCGCGGTGCCTCACCCCGCAGGACCCACCAGCAGCCCTCGAAAGTGGCGACAGTTTCGCAGGTCGCAGTCTCCCAGGGACGGCGACCACAGGGGGGGGCGGGAGAAGGACGCGACCACACCCCTCTATTCAAAACGAATACCCAACCAAGGAGGGTTGGGAAAAATAGCATTGTCGCCAATGCGGGGGTCGCAAAGGGTACCACGATGCTCATGTTTTGGCAGCCGTAGTGAGTTTTCGCCCGCCTGATCAGACCCTGGCCCACGTCATCCCCGCCAGGGATTCAGGCCCCAATCCCTGACGGGGGCCTCCCCGTCAGGGACGACGTGTCCGTGCTGGGAAAACGATTTCTGGGCCAACATAGGCCGAGCTGGACTTACCTAGGGGTGGACGAACACCCCCTACTCGCCGCCTGCAGACGATGACGACAACGACGACGACGACGACGACGACGACATCTGCCGGCGGCGCTGGGGTGTGTGGGGGGGGTCCAGAACCGTCCCTCTCCCCCCCTTGCCCCCGGAGGGGGTGGACGGGCTTACCTCCCACCCAATGCACAAGCGCACGTGAAAAGGGCGCTCTTCCCAGGCATGCGATGCCTTGACTTTTTCCATGCGCGGTCCCCAAAAACCTCGACCCGTTCCCCAGGGCCGGCCCTTCATCCTGGGTGGCTTTTTGACTGCCCCAGGGCCTGGCCAAGGAACGCGGAGGCCGACAACGGCCCGAAGCCTCCGTCGTGAGTTCTCACGACGCCAGCGTCTCTGGGTTTCCAGGGCGATCCTTCGAGGGCGGGCCCCTTTCTGGAGCGCGCCCACCGAGCCCCCAGGCGGCGCATCGCCGAAACACGCGACGGTCAAGCAGCACGGGCTCGCCACCGCTCGGGCGGAGACCTCGTCGGCTCGTACTGGCTGTCGTAGTGCGGCACGAATGGCGAGGCCGCGGCCCCGGCGCCACAGAGGGCGGAACACCTCGGCTGGGGAGGGTGGGAGAGTTGCCCTCGACCCTCGAGGATCGAGGAGGGGGCCCAGACATGCTAGCGTCGTAAAACCACCGCGGCGGAGGGTTGTTGGCCGCGTTCGGCATCCAGGGGCTCTCGCCGGGCCCCGGGACCGTCAGAAAACGACCCTGGATGAAAAGCGGGCCCTGGAGAAAGGGTCGGGACTTCCGGAGACCGCGTATTGAACAAATCAAGACATCGTATGTCTGAGGGGGATCCCAAAAGGCTCCAAAGACACCCCAGAATTTTCGCGGGGTTCTTCGAAACCTAATTGTTGGGGGCCTCGTGTAGTCTCTCGGGCACTCGTGGGAGCGTCTAATTCCGAGCTTCTTGAATGCCTCTTCCATCGTGGGGGTCGTCGTCCAGGATCGGCGGCACCAGCCGTAAGGCCTTAACAGTCAAGACATGGCATGGCTGGGGAAGATCGGGGGTGGACAGAACCTCCGATAGAAAAAACACTTTGTTAAAAACGACCTGGAACCAGACCCGACGGCCGCAGGCACGCTACAACTGCGGCCGCAACGCCCGCTCGAGGTCCGAAAAAGGCATTTTGCTTCATTATCGGCTAAGCAGGGTGGGAGTTCCATCGACCTCCAGGGGAGGATTCTGAACGCTCGGGGCCCCTCTTCAGCCTCCGTGGGGCCTCTGGGGCAAGCTTTGCCCTCGACCCTCGAGGATCGAGGAGGGGGAGAGAAGATCATGAACGTTCGGTGCCCTTCTCTGGCCTCCAGGGCCTTTGGGGCAAGCTGTGCCCTCGACCGTCGAGGATCGAGGAGGGGGAAAGAAGATTATGAACGTTCGTGGCCCTTCTTGGGCCTCTGGGGCCTCTGGCGCAAGCTTTGTCCTCGACCCTCGAGAATCCAAAAGCCCAGACAGCCGAAGCCCTGACGCCTTCCCCGGGGCCGGCTTGTAATCAGGAGCCAAACTCTGGCGACCCCAGGGCCTGGAACCGGCCCCCCCGAAGCCTGGAACTGGCCCAACGGCCGCCGAGCCAAGAAAGTCAGCACCAGCGTACCTCACGCACAGGAACTTCATGCTCTGAGCGTGCTCCGCCGCCCGCGGCTCCCTCTCCCTCCTTCGCGCCCTTCCCGCCCCAGCGTTGCCCAATTCGGCCCCGCAATGCCCGTCGGTTGCCTCGACCGCGGCTTGGCGCCAAGCCGCTGCGATTAAAACAAATGTTTGGGAGGGGCTCTACAGGAGGAACGAGGGGGAGAGCATTGGGGGGAGGAGAGGAGGAAGTATGGGGGAATCATAATACAAATAATAATAAAACAGGAGAAAGAATAATGATAATAACAATGACAAGAAGAAAACGAATAATAATAAGAACAAGAAGAAGAAGAAGAGTGGGAGAAGAAGGAAAAGGAGGGCGCGGGGGGAGGATGAGGAAGATGGGGGCGACAATGATGGGGATCAGCTTTGGAACGGTCGGGGCCCTTATTTGGCTTCCTGGTGCGGGCACCCCCCAGGGGAGCGGAGGGGGGAGAAGGACACGGGGCCGCCCCCCCCGCAGGAGGCCTGTGGTGACGGGGGGGGCTCCCCTGCCGAGGACAGCGACCCCGTCCCTGTGGGAGGCTCGGGAGGAAAAGGAGCAGGGGAGGGAGGAGTTCGGGAGAAGCTGGGCCCAAGTGGTCGAGGCGCCGCCAGAGGAGTGGCGCCCAGGTTCGTGCGGTGCCCTACGCCTTTTCCCATCGCCTGAGCATGATTCCCTCCACGCACGGGCACGATCCAAGCCGCTACGAAGCGGGATGGGGAGGAGAAATAGCACAGGGGGTGGCGGGGCAGCAGCAGGAGCAGGGAAACTAGGGGCAGGAAGAGAGTGCCCGGCTCCATGGGGGCTGGCCGATGCCAGCAGATTGGGAGGAATGCGCGTGGGAGGGGTCCGCCAGATCTTCCTCCTTCTCCTCATCCTCCTCCTCCTCCTGTTACTCCTCCTCTTACTCCTCCTCCGCCTCGATGATCGAAGTTTGGGTGCTTGGGTGCATCTGGGGACCTCCGGAGAACCCAGCATGAGCAACAGTGCTCCAGAGCAAAGCGCGGTACGTATTGCGCCAAGCCGGACCATGCAGAGGCTTGCCTGAGAAAAGGAAGCGCAGGGCAGGGGATGTGGAAGGGAGGGAGGCAGGACAGGGCAGGACAGGCAGCATCGACACGCAGATGCATCAAGGACACACGAAGAGATAGTACAAGAAAAGGGCTCGCACAGGTCAGATGAACCCGCTGCTGTGGGATTGGAAGGCAGACAAGTGACATTGAAATCTGGGCTGGGCGCCTCATGTTCTGCTTCGCAGCGACATAGCGGTTCGCCTCTACGGCAGGAGAGCGGAAGAAGAGACGAAGGAAACAAGTGCAAACCATGCATACCGCAAACAGTGCTTGCACAGAGACATTCATACTTGCGCTCTGACAGAGTGACATGCGGTTCCGGGTTCTCGCCATGTGCCCGCCTGTCGCCGCCTCGTCGCCGCCTCGTGCGTTGGCTGGCGGCTCCGGACCTCCGCCCAATGCTTGCCCATCGCCACCTCGCCGCCGCCTCGCGGGCTGGCTCGCGGTTCTGGATATTCGCCTGCCGATCGCCAGTCGTCGCTTCGTCCCCGCGTGGTTTCGGCCCGTGCACATCAAATATTGCAGCCTATAGGTCGCAGTTTGTGTTTGTTGTTTTTTTTTTCTCTCTCTCTCTCTCTCTCCCTCTCTCTCTCCACATATATATATATATGTATGTGTACTGCACGTGCTATTTTCTATGTCTGAAGCGAAACGAACTATTCCCACCCTATCATGCTTGGATTTATCCGCTATCCGCCGCAAGTTACGTACCATAACACACCCCATAGATCGAACGACGGCATGCCAACCAACCCTGACATCGGCCACCCATCCACCCTCATCATCCGAGTCGCAGGATACCATGCGACGCACTTGCGTTGATATGACACCTTTTCTCAAACAGGAAGAACTGAACGTTCGCCTGGCGAAGGACCCAACCATATGCAGCTGCGACTACCGCGAGGGAGGTGAGACGAAGGAGGGGGGCGCGCAAACTCCGAGTAGCACAGGGCTTCAGGGAATCAGCACCTGGAGCCTTCGGTGGAGCTCCCTATGGGGCCACGAAGCGTGTGATGGGGGTTGCCGACATGGGCGCGGGGTCATGTGAACGCAGCCTCTGGAGCCCTCGGTGGAGCTCCCCATGGGGCCACGAACCGTGTGAGGGGCGCGCCGAAATTAGCGCGGGACACATGTGAACGCAGCACCCCCTGAAGGTTTGTTTTAGGGGGCCGGCCGCGATCGGATAGGGCGCCCAGGATGGCTCAAGATGGCTCCGAAAAGGCCTCCAACGCCCCAAAATGGCTTCAAATATGGTTCAATATAGCCGACGATGGTTCAATATAGCTTCCGACATACCTCCAAAAGGCCCGACGAGGGCCACAGACAAGTTCCAAGTGATCTCGGGGAACCCTCAGGACCTGCCCAGGAGGCCAAACTCCTTCAACAACCTAAAGAAAATCAATGATGTGTGCCTTCTCGCCGTTTCGCGTCCGATGCGCTTTAGGGGCCTCAAGATTGTCCCAAGATGGCCAAAGAGAGCCCCGAGAAGGGCCCATGAGGCCCCCGAACGGGGGCCAAAGGGCGCCCAGCATTGGCCCAAGAGCGAACCAAGAGCACCCCAAGAGGCGATATTGATGGCCCCAGAGGGGGCGGCGCCAATGTGGGGCACCTCCACGATTAATCGATGGCCTCCAAGATTGCCCCACAGGCCCTTCAGGGCCCCCAAGGGCCCAAGAGGGCCCCGACAAGGCCCCAAGAGTTTGAAACCAAATGGGGCTCTGGGAGCCCTGTCCTAGTCTACGCGTAGTCGTCGGAGTTGGCGTAGTCAACTGAGTAGGCGCGCGCGCGCGTTGAGAGCACCTCTTGCCTGCCCTTTCGCACGCGGCCCGCGCTGCCCGCTCCGGCGCGATCAGCCCGTCTCGCAAGCTGTCCACGCGCGCAGAACCCGCCCGCCCGTCCTCCGGCCATAGGGGGGCGAGGGGTGATCTCCTTGAACATGTCAGCGCAGTTCCGCTGGTGCTGAGAGAAACTTCTGCACGCGGTTCAATCGCTACGCCGCGCTGGTCCACGGCCCCCGCGCGAGTGCCCAGGTCCTCCCAGGTGCCCCAGGCATAGAGCTCCTCGATGTCCTCGCAGCTGATTTCCACGCCGAATGTCCTCGATCACCACAGAGAAGAAGTCATCTACGGGGCACAGAACAAGCCCCAACAGTTTCTCGGTGACCGGGCAGCGTAGACACCATAATCACGGCTCCAGGGCACAAGCTTGAAGTCCCAGCTTCGCGACATCTGTCTTCGCGGTCTGCCGCCTCTTTCGGGGGGCCTCTCCAACGCGGCAACCAGGCTTCAAGACTCGCTGTGGTTCGCCAGGCTTCGCTCCAAAGGCGAAGGGGGGGGGGGGGGGCTTGTCCGCCTCGACGAAAAGGGCCTTTTTGAAGTCGTTAGCCTGGAGGGATGCACTCGCCGCGTCACCCTCACTCAGGCAGGCGCCAGTGGTTCGCCGCCGCCACGGCGAGAAGAATGTTGCGAGTCCGACGCGAAGCCGTCGGGGATGCAGTAGACTCCTGGCCGATGTCCTTCGTCTGGTAGCCAAGAAGGACTAAGCGAGCCTTGGCTGTCCCATCGGCCAGCATCGCGTCGGCAGAGCCCTTCTCCTCGCCCACGGGTACTGGACGCAGCCCACGGCACAGCTTCCAGTTGGCAACCTCCTTGCCCATGGCCCCGCGGACATCGGCCTTGTTCCAGTAGAATTCGATATTGTCCTTGCGCTTCTGATTGGCGACGAAACAGTAGAGCATCTCGGCTGTCAACCTTCTCCGGCCCAGAGTATCGCCCAGCGCAGATTTGAGCATCTCGAGGAGGGCCGTCATGTTCTCGTCGACGCAATCCATTTCGAACTCTCTGAGCGAAGGGTCTCCTCGTCGGCATTCTCGAACACTCGCCCACGCCGACCTGGAAGGCTGGATGGCCGAGGGCAGCGGCGGCGCTGATTCCGGCGGCGTCGGTCCTACAGCTGGCCCCACTCAGGGCCCTGGAGGCGGCAGTTCGCGCCGGGCCCCGTCGCGCTCGGGAGGGCCCTCTTCCACGTCTTGGCCCCCGGCGGGCACCAGGGCTCGCGGCTCAAAGTACTGGGCGGCCGAGCGGCCCTCGGCGGCCAGGTCCTCGAAAGTGCCGCGACGAGCCGGCTCCGTCTGGTTGGACATGGACGCCCCGAGGTATTCGCGGGACTGCGGCTCCACGACCACGCGCTCAACGTCAGTTGCAGGGCGAAGTTTTTCAGCGCGCCGCGTAGGAGGGCGCCCCCGTGGGACACCCAGACAACCGAGGCCGGTCGGGAGGGCCCGGCAAGGGCCGTCTGCTCCTAGACAAGCACGGACGCTGGCCCATTCCACGCGGCCTCGGCCCTACCGCCAGTAGAAGCGCCGCTCGCCAGCCTGCCGGCGGGTCGTAGTCTGGCTGCGGGCGCGCTCGGCACGTCGGCGCCGTTCGGCATGCTCGGCTACAAGGAAGCTCTGGCGAGCGAAGAGGCGTCGCTGTTCCTGGTTCCCGCCGCTGCCCACGTCCACCACGGCGAAGGGGCTCAAGGGGGATTGAACACTTCCGGTCCCGAATGCGCGCGCGAAGGGGGGATGATTTCCGACCGCGTCGAGGTCGCTGGTGGCGCGCGCGACCTGGCTGACAGCCCCGTCGACGTCGCAGCCCCGATTGTGCTTCAGGAACTTCGCGCGGGTCCTCTTGAATAGCTGAGTGCGCCGCTCGACCTTGCCCGTCAGCCAGTGCGCCTCGCCTGCCGCGATGAAAACCCACATTCCGCGGGAACTGCACCAAGCCTCGGTCAGCTCTGCGCGATGGCAGCCCTCCGCGTCGCATCGCATGCGACGCGGAGCCCGGCGGCGATCGGCCCAGGGCCCCCAGGTGGCCGCCACTTCAGCTGCATAACGATTGCCAGACCACTGAGACTTGCCGCCGCGGTTGGTCACCTGAGCCAGGCCAGCCCCCTAGTCCAGGTTGAGGGCCGCCAGATAGATAGCGTCCTCCGCGGGGTCGGTCCGCTCCAGCCCATCGCTGCCCATGACCTCGAAGACCTCGGGGATCTCGATGCCGGCCGCGGTGCGGACCGCCTTCGCGAGGGCGAGAGAGTTAGGCGCGCGGCACTCGAAGTTGCGAGCCAGCTCCAGCACCTGGAGGCTCGCACCCGAGCTCTTGAGGATCTCGAACATCGCGCGCGCGAGCTCGGATGGCCCATGCTGCGACGTTGTCAACTTAGGCGGTGCTCGATCTCCTGCCCCACCCCCTTCGTTAGCTGGCCTTGTTCCTTGACGAGCTCTCCGTAATCTTCCCCGTCGAACTCGCCCTCTTCGTCGGGGTGCTCTTCCAGCTCCATCTCGCCCGCGCCCTCCTCGGCCCAAAATATATCCAGGGCGTTGTCGGACTCGGACTGCTCGACGGCAAGTAACGCCCCAACTCCAATGGACTGCCCGCTGCCCGACTCGAGGATGCGTCTCGCCCAGGCCTGGCACGCGGGTTCAGAATAGTACGCCGTGGATGCCGCGACCTGGCCACCGACGATCTCGCCGCGCTGGCGCGGTTGTCGCGTCGACAAGGTCATGTGCCGCAGCTCTTGCCGAGGGCCTGGGAGACCCCGGGGTCGGCGGGGCAAATCCTCCGCGCTTGAAACAGCAGCAGTCCACTCCGAGGGCATCTGAGCCAATCAGCGCCACCGTGACCAGTGTTTCGCACGTCTGTTCTCGGGCCCTGCTCAGGGGGGCCGAGCGACGCCCTCTCCGCGACCGACGAGGCTGCGCGAGGCTCACCTTGGCAACCTTGCACTGGAGGCCGATGGAGAGGATGGTCTCGCAACCGGCCTGGATGCGACGCGCCTGCTGACCTTCTTTCGAAGTCGGCCGATAGCCCCGGGGCTTGAATGTTTCCAGTTCCGTAGCTGGCAATCGGCAGCGCGCGCGGCGGACTCGCGACGACGCGCCAGGGTCGATGGAGCCGCATGCACTGAACAAGTCGTCGCACACCCGTCTTCGCGACTAGATCGCAGCCGTCGTAGAGACTGGCTCTGGCGACCTGTCCGCCCAGGTCGATCACGGCCTGAGAGGAGAGAGAGAGAGAGAGAGAGAGAGAGAGAGAGAAAACAAAAAAAAGGCAGGCGGGGCACAGACCTTGACGAGGACGGCCGCGCCGGACGACGTGGGTCGCGCTCGCGAGAATCTCGAGGTCGCCCGTCGCTTCGAGTCGCCCAGCATCTCGAAGGGTTCGGCTCCCAGGTCCGAGATCCTGCTGCGGTCGCTCGAGATGCTGCCATTTTCGCTCGAACTCGCGGTCGCGATGCTTGAGGGTCTGGAGGCGGGGGCCCCCCTCGCCTGGGGTCTGCCCCGAAGTCTCGTCGTTCTGGATCGCGCAACCCCTGGGGGCGTTCCGCGGCACTCCGTCCTCCGGCAGGGCCAGGCTCTCGTGGGACTTCCCGCCCACGCAAAAGCGCCCGTCCCTCTCGCGACCCAGTTGGCCGCAGCAGCTGCATTCCCAAGGGGCCGGCGCCTTGGGCCCCGTCGCGCGGGCCAGGGCGGTCG